GCAGGGCCCACTTGCAAATTTTAGTGCCTGCTGATTGCAGTGAGGGTGACAGACCTCCATACCCCAGTGAAACTGTACTCTCTAGGTAATATGAGTAAAGGATTATCTGGGGTCAGTAATAAAGAGAAAAGAACATGACCTCCCAGTGCCTTTGTCTGATGCCCAAGAGTGGAGGCGCTTCTTAGTGTAATACAAACCAAACCGCCTTCCCAAACACAGCAGTGTTTTCCTGTGGTATGCAATGCTCCACTAAGCACACTTGGGGTCTCACACCTGACGTCAGAGAGGTCTGATTGGACTGGGATGTAGTGGACCCAAGGCTTCAGCTGGGGGTAGAAGAACTCCAACCACTCTTCTCCAACGTGAAAGACGAGTGAACCACACAAGAAAAGGTGTTTCAACCGGAAACTGGCAGCCACTCCCCGGAAATTAAACAGATACCTTTAAAAGAAGCAAAGAGAGGGACCTGATTACACCTGGCATTTTGTGAGGAAATGCACTAAGAAACTGGGCTCTGAGTAGCAGTCAGCCTTCCCTCACAGGTAGCAGCCGGGGGGGGGTCTCCCTCACACCGAGCCAAGCACCTGTGGCTGAAACAAAGGGAAGACATTTATTTGAAGCTCCTCACAGGAAAGGTGAGCTGAAGTGCTAGGTGAGTTTCTGCTGCCTATCAAAACTGAGGGAGAAAATCAAGGTGTGCTGCTTTACGTCCCATAAAGACACCTGCCTGCGACAAACCAACAGAAGCCTCACTGACAACCGCCAGCAGGGCATGGAAGGTCACAAGATGGATGCTGATCCTGTGACTCTACACTGCAGACACTCTGTTACCACGAGGAGCTTTTTCCCAACTCTCTGATGGTTTGCAGTGAGCTTTTCTATTCATTGTTCTGCTTTGCCACATCTATCTCAGTTGGGTTTTTGTTTTTCTTTTTTCCGCTGGGATCCTGCTTTAAACTGAATCTAATTGTTTCATATTAACTTGGGAATGCAACCCTAGGAGGTTAAACAGACTAGCACACAACAGATGGACTTTGCAGATAACAAAGAATCCACAATTTTGTTTTCAGTATTTTCTGCCAAGTTAGTAAAGTGGGCTTGACTGGGGGGGCATTTCTCTTAGCAAACTGTATCTCAGAGGGATGTTTGTTTGCTTACTTGCTTGTTTTTTTAAACCCACATTTCTCCAATTATATGGAAAGCTGTTTTTCCTGTGGGTAAAACCCCTCAGTACATATAACTAATCTTTGAAGTCAAACATTTTGGGCTGGGGGAAGGGAGTTCTTCCTTTAATTAAGGTATTTTGGGTCGAGATGGGGATTATATATTATATATACTTTGGGTGAGATGGGAATTACAGCTAAACTTAGTTCAGCACTAAGCGACAAGGAGTAAATCTGAAATTATTTTGCATTCTTTGTATTACCTAGGAGCTCAAGGCTCCTAGGGATGCGGAGCTTGTTGTATTAGGAACTCAACAGATACATGTAGAGATGTAACAAGAACAATGGTCTGGAAGCAAAGAAATGCCTCTGTCCAATTCCAGACACCATCCGTGACCTCAGCCAAGTCACTGCGGGCTGCTCTCAGACAGCCTGCTACAGCACCTACACTGAAGGAAGCAGCAAGAAGTTCATGTTGACCCTCCCAGACCCTGGGCTACGACAAAAGCGTGTGAGAATGTTTCAACCCATACTGCACCAGGGGCTTAGGAGGCATCAGGAGTTGGGAAGTCTATGTGCAACAGAAGGGAGAAATCTGGGCAACAGTCTAGGGAAACATAAAATGAGACAAGTCAATCACATCTGCACAAAAACACAGATCCAGCCAAATGACTGGAGTTCTTGTATCAGCAGATTCTAGCTGGTAGAATCCTAACTAGGTAATTTTAAAGCAAAAGCACAACATCAGACATACAAGTGCATACACACTGAGTTTATGTTATTTTACACAGAAATATATATCCAGTGACAACACTTGCCCCAGTATGCATATCAAGACATGATTCTTTAGTTCCTTATGTCTTTGAAGACAGTAATGCTATCACTGTAGCACTGAAAAAGTAATTTTGAACACACAGCTTGGTACAGGAATATAAAGAAAAATTGATAGAAAGCCTTTTTCATTAAAATAAAATAATTTTTTTTATTTATATGTTTATTAGTGATCTAAGACCTTTACTTTCCCCAAAGCACTTTATTTCTCCTGCCCTGACAGGGGAAAGCTGACACTGAAAGAGGCCATGCTAAGCTCCCAAATTTTCAACTGCCTTAAGTCTGTTCACAAGCTTTCTTGTCTGCATGCAGCTGAGTTGTTGGAATTACACCTTAAAATAAAATGAGACCTTACACCATGCAAGGAAAGAAATAACCCATAGAGCTTTACTAATCAAAACTCTTACTTGTATTTGCAGTGATCAACCAGTGGAATTTCCTTTGCAGGAGGTTTTCCTAAGGTGTCCTTAAAATAAAGAGAATTAAAAAAAAAAAAACCAAACAAAAAACCAGTTAGCTTTATATGGTGATTTCATATTTGTTTTCCTTCTCAGTTAGAAACAAAGCCCAAGTCTCAAAACCCTCCACTCCCACTTCTGAGAAAACCTTCTGTGGTGGGCTTTTGTAAGTATTATGAAGAATGCCCAACCCTTCAAACAAGAAAAAAAGTTCAGTGAATTACACACTGCCTGTAAGCAAATGCCAGCACAAACACATTAAATGATAATGTTTAGCTGGCAGCTACAAAATGGAAAACAGCTTGGGACAATGGACAACGTGAAGCCAAGTGCAAACAGATTAGCCAAGACTGTCTGGAGAGATCTGGACTGTAGACTAAGTATGCAACTAAAAAGTTATCAGCAAGTTATCAACAAGACCACCAAGAAATGGAGAGGACAGAAAAGGTTTAAAAAGACTGACACCACCACACAGGCAGCTTGGTGCTAGAAGGGGAAGAGTTGGCTAATTTTGTGGTAATGGAAGAGGATGGGATTGCCACAGGTTCATTTTGTTACGTGTGCTGGTTTCCTTGAACAGAAAGTGTAGATGGACGCAAAACGTTTGGCTGGCCAGGCTCTAGAGACTCCTTCCTTTCATCCATCAGAGAGATGCAGCCATCAAGGGAAAAACAAGTCTCCCCCACTCTAGAGGACCACCCACAACTCTCCAGCAACATGCATCTCAATCATCAAGGCCATCTTGCAATGCTACCCTTTCTGGCCGTCACACTCAGGAGATGGACAACACCCACACACCTTCTCAGATTTCCAAGCCTGGTTTTTAGTGTACTCAGCATCAACAAGTTCTGGGTTTTCTCGGGACAGCAGAATCAGGGGATCTCTCTCAGGGCTCGTTCTGCAAAAGAAATGCTATCAGTAAATGCCAATCCACATGACCCAACAGAGCTAACAAACTACAGGGCTCAAGATCCTGCCTCTTTATAAGGCTGGCCTCCTTATGTGCCCCCAAAACATTAAGTGCCTACCATACAGCGTATTTCTGTCCAAGGGTGTACTAGCAGAAGAGAATGAGTTATGTGAACCAAAATTATTTGAGGCCATGTTTCTTTATTTCACTTACTAAATACTTAACAGTATTATTTAAGCAATTCCCAGGACAAGTCAGCAGAGATGTTGTTTCCTTCAGGCATTATCCTGATGGGTGCCAGATACTTTAACTCCCTTCTAAGTCAGAGAGTGAGCTAAGAGATGCTAAGCATCTTCAACACTTGATCCCTCTGACGCTAATTTAAAACACTACTGACAAACAGGTTATGATGTTCCTGAGACCCACTCCTCATCATCTCCTGAGCCTACCTAGTAAGATACCAAATCCACCCCTATTGAGGATGGAGGAGGAGCAAAAAGGAGCAGAGGTTAACACTTTTTTCAAACTGTCACTGGAGAGAGGGCAAAAATAGTCTACTCTCTTATCCCCCACCACTCAGGTAATTTAATGCAAGAATATTATTTATGCAAATTTAATGCAAAAAAAATACAAGAATACTTGTTGATTCACTGTCAAGCACTTGCATAGCGAATAAAGTATTTGCACTTGCAAGAAGCATGCACATCAATATTAAATCTTTAAATTTGTATGATGCACCTGCAGTTCCCTTCACAGAACAAAACAAGCTGGTTCCTAGTGTGACAGTTTTACTCAAAGAAACATAGCAAATCCATCACAACTTCTGTTTCCAATATTAGACTTAGTATAATTAACTAGATGCAAATGACAATACTTATGGAGAGTCATGGTGAAGCGCTGCTGTACAAAATGCCTCACCTTCCTTACTTTTAAAAAATACATTTTGGGTTACATTTGTTTAGATCTTGGAGATACAGAAATTTCTGCATACAGACAGCTGTCATGGCCTGTTTTGGTAGAATCTCCTGCTATAGGAAAACATGCTCACCTGGATCCTCGGAAATATCCTTTAGAGATTTTTTTCATCCACGGCCATTTTTCTGCAGATCTGAAAATATTGTTTATACATGGCAATAAGTGATTTAATATAACCACGAAACAGCACTCTCATCAGTTTTCACAGCATGATCCCTTTTTATTATTCTTCATTTTTGACGGAAATCACTGTCTTCATTATAGGAGAAAAAACTCTCAGCCAGGTCCAATGAAACAGGTTTTCCTGTGAATATTGTGTTTAAGGTGACATGACATAGGCTACTTTCCAGAATACTTTTCAGTCAAAACAATGAATTACACACAACCCCCTCACCAAATCTTCAAGGGTATTAAAATTTACCTAAAATTTGAATCCACTTTTTGCACTGTTGCTTTATTTTTCTGTACTGCACTGAATATGGATAGTGCAAAATGACTAGTTTCTAACGACTGTCATTTCCCATTCAAAAAAACCCCAAACAACAAACAAAAAAAAACTGCCTAGTGTTTTGCATTTAAAACACAGGGGATCATTGTTTTCCCAAATAACTTTCATTTTAAATTTAAACGAGTCCTTCAAAATAGCTGTTCACATGTTTTATTTCTGTCAGTGCGGTCATCCGCCTTCCTCTGGGGAACTCTTTGTTGCACTTTTTTGTTTCGCCTGGCTTGGCATGTAGGTCCTGATCCCCAAACCGATCTGCGCAGGTCAAGCTCTGCATCTGCTTGTAACCCAGTGACACAAGTGGGGTTCAGAAAGGATAAGTAAATGCTTTGGACCTTCGTTATATTATATCATATCACATTAGGCTTCAGCTATGATTAGTCCCATAGATCCTCAGATTTTGAAGAGGGAAACATTTCGCTTTGCATTCTGATGCCAAGTGATTGACATCAAGGTAGCTTTTTTTTTTTCTTGTTATGTTTCTATGTTCACTCACTGTTGCATACTTTGTCACTCTCCATAGGAAACAGCCCCTTATTCTGCTAATAGTCAAAGATCCTGCCAAAAGAAAGACTCCCAGTCAGAAACGTCTTCTGTCTTACTCTCAAGCCCAGTAATAACTCTTGCTTCTTGGGAATGATTCCAGGTTTCTCTATTGCACAACAATACTCAAGTAAAAGCAGATCTAAAGGCGGCTTTCCTTTACCCTTCCAGAAGCTTACACAAACATTCTGGATCATCGCTGCAGTAAAGAAACCACAGCTCTTAGAGAAGTAGTTGAAAACAAAGGGAAATATTTCCATGTGTCAGGGGAGATTTCTGCAGGCAAAAGATAACTGCTGCTTTATTGACAAACCCTATCCCAGCAAAAATGATAGTAATCTGGCCCTGACAGGATGAAGAATGCTTATACTTTGTCCTCTGCACTCCTTACTAAAGTGTTGGAAACAGAGAAGCTAATTATAACTTCTAGTTACATCATCCAAGGTTTCCACGGAGAATTCTTATACAGCATTTACGCTGTACGTAGTTAATGAGAGGCAGTAGGATAGACCACAGGCCACCAGACCTATGGTCTTAGGCTTCAATGTTGCCCTAATGCTGCCCAGTGCTAGACGGCTTCTTCCATGAGTTTGTTTCCCACCAAACCTTCCCCCTCACCCCCTACATAACCATTTCCAAAACATACCTTCTGAGGTCCTCTCTCATGAGGTCCCAGCGCCCTAAACCTGTTGGGTAAATTGGCCAAACAGCTGGTCCTCCTTCCCAAAATGTCCAGGCAGGATACATGATATCACTGTATTCAGATGTCTTAAGAAAAAGGAGAGTAACGTAAGAATAAGAGTAATATCTACTTCAGTTTACTGACTGAGCCCACCAGCAATGAACATCCCTTCCAGGAGTTCAGCTGGCTTTCTTTGTTACTGTTCCATAAGCAGCCACGAGAGCTTTGAGGTCACCACGGTGCTGCCGGGGTGCATATGAAGACAACCCAACACTGAAATGTTTCAAATGCTTTAGAAAAAGGCTATGCCTCGCTGCATAACAACATGGGACTTTCCGTTAGAAAATAACAAAAGAGATCCATGATATAGCCGATTAGTAAATAGCGGAAGACCTGAGCTCCGCTCACCTTTCTAAAGACTTGTGCCTGCGTATAGCTACAAATGTCTTCCACTGATCGTAAGTTAAGAGGCATTATTATCTCCTGAGATATATGCATTTATAGACACTTTTCATTTAGGTTTCCAACACTTCAGTTCATTCCAGCCTTTCTAGAGATCACTTAACAATTCACTGTAACTAATATCCAGGTATGTAAGAATTTCAGTTCCTCACTCCTATTTGGATGCTTAAATTCCCATATAATCAGATGGAAGGCCAGCACTTAAGTAAGACTAAACCCTTTCATGAAACCAGACTATAGGCTACTTCCTTGTACTAGTAATGAACTTCCTATACAATTATCTATCTATCTGTCACCTGGAGATACTGGAGAGAGTCCAAGGCCACCAAGGTAGCTAGGAGCTTGGTCCACATGACATATAAACAGGGGCTGAGGAATGGGTTTGTTCATGCACAGGAAGAGGAGGCTTGGGGGAATCTAAATGTTGTCTCTTACTACCTAATGAGAGAGTTCAGAGAAGATGGAGGCAGACTCTTTTCAGAAGTGCAGAGAGAGAATTAGAGGCAACAGGCTTTGATTACAAGAAGGGAAATTCCAATTAGATATTTGGAAACATGTTTTCATTCTGAGGACATCAAACACAGGCTGTGGACACCCTGTCCTGGGGGATGCCCAGAACTGGGCAGGACACAGCCTGGAGCACCCTGGTCTAGTTGGTGCTGCTCTGAGCAAGGTGCTGGACTGTGTGACCTCCTGAGGTCCCTTCCAACTTAAATGAGCGTGTGCCTTCTATGATCTGCTCCTTCTCAGTCTTGCTATAAACAGGCATTGGTAACAAACCATCACAGCTCCACCACCACCCCAGGGTGGGCCTTCTGAGATGCAGAATAGGACGATCCTGCAATCCCTTATGCTTTCAGCCTTAGAATGCATCCTGGAGCCTTCCTCATTCCAGCAGTGACTAACACTGGCTGGTTAAATGTGAGCTGTACCTGGGTCACTGGGTTTCAGTTAAGGATAGGGCTGAGGTTACAGTTCAGATACTGGACAGTGGTGACCAGAGAACTCCTTTTCTTGCAGAGTCCTGCAAGGCATCCAGGGGCAGGATGATGAATACGGCTCCAAAGATTAAACACCTGCAACCTGCTCTGCATCAGTTTGGGTCCTGCTGGCTAGAGCTAAGGCTGTGCAACGGTCAAGGGGCAAGGCAGCTAGCTTTACTACCACATCTGGCAGCAAACACAGTTCTTGAATGACAGTGCTTGCACTGCTGTACGGAAATTCTAGAGACAGTTTTAGGATGGCTGGGGACTAGGCAGTAGTTATGGATCGTATTAGGGTTCAGGCTGCATGAGCTGAAGGTCTGGGTAAGATGCTACAAGTTAGCCAAAACAGAACAGGGCCTGAACTAGCAAGAGCAAATGGTTTATTGCTTCTTTTTTGCATCTTACTGTCTGCTGGCCTTCAGCCAAGGACAGGATCACAATCAGTGTTAGGTAGCGAGGGTACAGCATTTGGGCACGTTGGGCATACACTAAGGCAAAGCAAGATTAGCTGAAGCTTGAGGTGTAACGGTATTTTGCTGGAAAGGATGAGACACTGTGCTACAGTCAGGTTTAACAATGGGAGAGGCAGGAAAACATATGGGAGGGCTCTCCAGTCTGGGAACAGAGACGCAGAGAACAAATGTCTCTGTGTGTGCATCTCTGCATGCATGCGCATGTTTGGAGATGGAAAAGGGAATCCAGGGGAAAAGGGTTCACAGGAGACAGCAATATTACAGAAAAGAAGACAAGAAACAGCATCTGTGGTACCAAAAAAAGAGGACTAAAATATTCATATTAAATGAGATGAACTGTATGACAGCTGACCGATGATCAAAAATCCTTAACAATGCTGATAAACTACAGCTACAGTTTTAACAGAGGCATAGTAGCAAATGACAGCGATGCTGGCACATATGCCATCCAGCTGTGCATCATTCCACTGTGGCAGTGGTACATTTTTTGACCTGGAAAAGGAGCTAATGAGGGGAAAAACTGTTCTGTTGAATAGATCTGCAAGTCTGTCTGCCAGAAAACTGGAAGTGAAAGGAAACAAAGAGCAAAAAAGAGCAAGCAATTCTGACACACAGAAAATCTGTGGGGAACCATCGTCAAAAATATGTTCCCAAGAGAAAGGAGGACATGCATGCCTCAGAAATGCTCAGCTTTTAAAGGTGTGCGCACCTTACTGAAGGAGAAGACTGGGATAATGGGTTTCATCCACTTGGGGACCTGGGGGTAGTCTCGCACATTGATCACCATTTCCATGTCAGGAAGGCGGTTGATGATCCCCAGAAGGAAGTGCTCAACTCCACTGCATCTGTGGAGAAATTACATGTGGCAAAGAGCTATAAGGAGAAAGCACAATCCCACAGTCTCTTGCAGGCCTTTCTCTCTGTGCAGGAGCAGAAGAGGTGGTGAGCCTGAGCCATACCATGATGCAGGCTGGGAACTGCCTATAGCAGCATCTAAGCCCCAAGGCAGTACAGACACCAATGAAGCAACTCATCCTGTTAAATCTGGCCTGATCTGCAGCTTTCTCTGAGATCCCACAACCAACCAACCCTCTGTACACCGAAGTGCAACAATGACGCTTACCGCTTGCTACATTTAAGCATCATACATAATTTTCTAGGCTCCTGTTCTGATAAGGAATTCAGACTTCTGAAATATTATTGTGCTCAGTGACTTTCAAGTTGGCAGACTTGGAAGCACTCCCTGTGTCCCAGCTAAGGAGACAAGATCTTCTGCACAGCTCCTACCTTGCAGGGAACAAGCAGTCCTGCTCACGGTACAATTTGTTCTTAATGATTTGGTAGTGTGTCCCGACCTTCCGGCTCACCACATCTGATATCATCTCCTTGGAAATGCCACCTCGAAAAGGAGCCAGGTCCTGCTTCCAGACACTGAAACAAAACAATCAGCCATTATTATATACAATAGGGATGACACTGTCATTAAATTACTGCAGTGTACAGAACAGACTTCTAGCTAAAACAAGCTCCGCGTAGCTTCCAGGAGCTCTGCTACACGTGGCATAACAGAGAATTTAGTTTAAGTCACTTGGAAGAGCTGTTATGCAGAGACTCAAAGGTCCAAGCTTCACTCTTTGACTATCTACATGCTGTTTGCCCGAACAGAAAGCCCAGCACAGCACTCCGAGGCTAAATCAACACGGACAACTCTAGTTACTCTCCCAGAAAGGACCTTACATACCCTGGCAGGTTATGGGTAAAAGCCTTCAGCTCATTTAACCTTTGAGTTGCAAAGCTTGTGCTTTGGTCTTCCATGAATAATGGGCCACACCAAGACCAAACTCCCCACACAATGTCACGCTATTTAGACATAAAAAAGAAGGTAAGAGTCTAGTCATGAGGAGCAGCATCACCAAATAATGCTGTGTGCAGTGAAAGCCAGCCCAGGAGGAGAGGCCTATGTAGCATGTGTTCTGTGGCACCTGCACATCATCAGTGAGCTCCAGGAATGCAGTATGAAAACATAAACCTAACATATATAAGAAAATGGAGGAGGAGGATGTGGTTTATATAAATTTAGTCTAAAGGTCCTCAGATCTAACTGCTTGGGGCAGTTAATGAACACTGTTGGGCACCTGTGTTTCTCCATTTGGAATCCAAATCCTAAGGACAAAAGAACGTTTGGACTCTTCCCTGTATTCCCTCCTCCCCTTTAAATAAAAACACTGCTTAAAGATATCAGAAAAAACCCAGTCCTACAGTCCCTACCCACCTAACAGTGATGACCTACACACCTGTAATATTCTCCATGCTGAAGTCATGCTCCACCAATGGGAACAGAAGGGAAATTGGGTTTGGCTATGTCTACACTTGTACCGCCTACAGTGGTCTTGCATCCACATGTAAGTCTCTAGCTCTCTGTACTGTATCACTGTAGGAAGATTAGGCAGAGTGCTGGCATTTTGCATAATGCTCCATAGTTATAAAAAAATAAACAGGGTTTGTGTTTTCCTGAATGAGCTCCTCTTGGATCACACTTAGGTCATGTGAAAATCAGGTAGTTAAATATCCACTGCCACTCCATTCTCACAAGCAGTGAGCTAAACTCTCTAGAAAGAGCACTCCTCCAATTGTCTCCCCTCGTCTCTTCCACTGGAAGCCCTGTCCAAGCACAGGGAGTGAGCAAAGTACAACACACTATCACACCACATGAATCTGTGTTCTGTAACAATCTTTCTTGATCTAGCTATTTTAGAATATTTTGCACACACTTGATTTCTTCCGCTTCTAAAAGCCTGTGAGAAAGACTTGTTAGCAACATTGCACAGAGAGAGAAGGCAGAAGTGGGTTGTTAACACAGAAATATCACCGACTGTGTATGGGTTTATTGTGTGATCATATGAGATGCTGACATAGCATTTGTTGTTCAGTCACAGAGGACAACAAGGAGAATGATCGGCCTGCAGGTGAACACACCTTCTATTGGAACTACGGAGGCCAACCTGTTTCGCACAGCACAAGCTCTTGCAAGCACCATAACCTATGATGGCTGCAGATGTGACACTTTAGAGCCCAGATATTCCCTAACTAATTCCCATCCATCAGTGCTAGCAAAAGTATTCCCTCTCATGGCCAGAGGCCTGTGCAATCAAAAGGAAACCAGTCTCTCACCTTTGGTGGCAGCTGCAATTCTCCTTTACACATGGCTGATAGACTTCCACAGCTTTCTTAATTTGGTCAGTTATTGCTTTCCATTTGGCATCTAAAAACACACAGGAAAGAGAAGTTAAAGGAATTAATCCACTACACTACCAGAGCAACTAGCGAGAGCTGAAGAAGATTTCTGGTCCGGCTGGGAACAGGCAATACACGAGGATCTCACAACACGCAACACACTCCAGTACGGCTCCGGTCCATGCAGCTCAACTAAAGCAAGCAGGGAAAAGAGGAGCCGTCACGGGCAAGGA